CAGGAGCCAGTCACCCACCCCTCTTTCAGAAGGCAAACAGGGCAAAGTGGCGGCCAGGCGAGAGAGCACCGGTCGCCCCATCAAACCCCCTAAAAAGGATTTTGAGGATGGCGAACTAGGCGTACACGGAAGCAAAAAGGGCAGGCTTTCAGAGCAGCTCAAGTACTGCGAGGTCATCCTTAAAGAAATGCTTTCGAAAAAGCATGCTGCATATGCCTGGCCTTTTTACAAGCCTGTTGACGCAGAGGCTCTCGAGCTACATGACTACCATGAAATAATCAAATACCCCATGGACTTGAGCACAGTGAAAGTATGTTGAGTTTGCACACAAAGTTACAATGTCTTGATTTTTAGTTTTGTCACAAGGAATTGTGGTTCAGCTAGTTTTTGAATCTAATTTTTTTTATTTGCTTGCAGAAAAAAATGGACAGTCGAGAGTACCAAGATGCACAGAGTTTTGCTTCAGATGTCCGATTAATGTTCTCAAATTGTTACAAGTACAACCCACCTGATCATGAGGTGGTTGCTATGGCCAGAAAGCTGCAGGTCTGTTCCTCTCCCTTTTGGCAATATATTCTTTTAATTTCTTTATTTAAAAGATTGAATTGTTTAATGACGTTGTCTTTTTATCTTTCAGGATGTGTTTGAAATGCGTTTTGCAAAGATGCCCGATGAGCCAGTGGAGGTGGCCGGGGCAGGTGGTGTAGGCGGGGCCGGTGTGGTCAGTAAGAGTACTGTCAGCAGTGAGAGCAGTGGCGGCGACTCCACCTCTGACAGCTCCGACTCCGAGGAGGAGAGGGCCACCCGGCTCGCCGAGCTGCAGGAACAGGTGGGTGCGGAACAGGTGGGTTTCAAAACAAGGACCAAGTACCCTTAACCTCTCCAGGCTCAGAGATGTTCTCACAGGCCTCCTGATATGTCAGCCCTTCTGATTATCCTTTTCACTCCATACCCACATGACTGTTTCAATCAATGTTCATGCTCTGAAGGACCTGGACGGACTTCCACTTAAAAAATAACCCCTCCTCTCTTTCACAGCAAGCACCTCTGTTTTCGTTTAGGATTTTGTGTACTTGTACGTAGAGCTGCGTTTTAGCCCTCTACCGCAACCAGCTGCTTATATTGCTTTGCATTAAATCCTAGAATGCCTAAATGTAGATCTAGTAGCAATTTTTGTGGCTTTGTTTCTGTCTCATTGGAGTTCTATATCATACTTTCTTCCCTTGCCATTTTCTTTACCAGTGTATCTCTTTGGAGCACCCCATTGGTAGCAGACAGGGGATAAAAAACGGGTGCACCAAGAATAATCAGGTGATTTTACTTTTCATTTCCCTGTCCCTGCCTATGAACACTGTGTAATAACTGTACAGTTGCTTTCATTATTTGTATTAGATGGTCAAGCGTATGGTATGGATAGTGAGATCAGCGGTAGAGGGTTAAAAGCAGCAGAAAAATATTTACTTCATTGGGTGGTGTTGGTAAACCAGCC